CTGTATTAAGGGATAACCCAATAGCTGATATAGCATTATTTTTCAGGTTATTTCCAGAAAAGAGATTGTCATTTGAATCAGTGGACTATTAAAAATCTACCCTCATCCAGATATGGGTAGATGCCATCCAATTGGCTGAGAGCCTGGCTAGAACAAAAAGACATAGGAAACATGAATTTACACTCTTTCACATGCTCTTTCACACTCTCTCTCTCTCTATCTGTAACTTATGGAAATGTAATACCTATATTCTCAGACTGTTGGGCATAGTAACTCAAGCTTTTCTGGCCTTTGGACTTTACAACTTATACTGATAGACCCCAGATTCTTGGGTCTTTGGCCTCTATCTATCTGTCTATCTGGCCTATTGGTTCTCTTACTCTGGAGGACCTTTGATCAAGGGAAGGACCTTACAGTGTAGCCATTAGGTATGTACCAAATCTTCCCTTGAAGGTCTTGGGGCAATTTATCAAGAAAATTGTACTAGGGAAAGAGAACTACTCAGACCTCCTAGAAACTATTAGAAAATAGCTCTGAATATATGCTGATCCCTAAACACCTACCAGAATAGGGTCCTGTGGAATATAGATTATAGAGCCTTTGTCTGAATATGTCTTAAAGCAGGACTAAGGACACATCCTATGGTTATTTCTCAAGAATAATCATCTGTTGTAGGAATAAACTTATTTTTTAATTGGCATAATTCCAAAATGAGAAATAGGGATGAAGTTCAGTGGTAGACCTCTTGCCTAGTATGTGTGAGACTTAGGTTTGATCCCCAACACCACAAGAAGAAAAAAAGAATTTCCAAATTCATTATCTGATCCATAGTGTGAGGGAAAGTATTATAGGAAAATTTAAGAGGAAACCCCTGCAACTGACCTACCCCTGCTATGATAGCCAATCAAAAACCATATTCTGTCCCTGGGGCACCTTCAGAAATCAATGCCTTATCAAAAATTCAGAGGTGCTCTAAAGGCAATTTCTATCAAATCCCTGTTTAATTCACTTACTTGGGCACTGCCAGCCAGAAGGTTTATGAAAAATTAGAGTGAGTAATCACAAACTTGATTGAATGATACCAGTTCCAGCTAGCTTTCTATATGTGGCATCTCCGTTAGTACACAGTTATTGAACTGAAAAAATGCATTCTTTTCTGTTTTAATTAATAAGCAAAATTCAGAGACAGACTATATTGACAGAGTTGGGACAATAGGATAATAGTATACCTTTATTATTTCCTCATTTCTACATCAGGTCTTCTGATCACTATCATAGTACAGAGGATATTTGATTTTCTTGATATCCCAAAAAGCATCACATTGGTTCATTACATCGATGCTAATGTGGTAAGTGAATTCTGCAAACAGGAAATAGCAAGCACCTTAAATACATTAGTAAGTCATATGTATGCCAGGGAATAGGCAAAGTTCAATGGCTTGCCATATTGCTGAAGTCTGTAAGAGGTCAAATGGTATGGGATATGTGTGCATATTACTTATGAGATATAAGTCCCTGCATTTATACATTTATACATGTGTGCATATTACTTATGAGATACAAATCCCTGCATTTATACAATCCATGAGGAAAAAGGACAAAATACTTGGCAAGACTCTTTGGATTTTGAAGGTAACTCTATCACAAACTTATATGTCACTTAGGTTTTATGACTGAACAGACCCAATGCTACTCAAAAGTCATGTTGAGACACTGGGGTTGTAACTAAGTAGTAGAATGCTTGCCTAGCATGTGTGAGGCACTGGGTTCAATCCTCAGCACCACATTAAAAATTAATTAATTAAAGACATTTTTTAAAAGCACTATACTTTTTTAAACAAATCATTTCTATTGCAGGCAAAGAAACCATACAAATCCCCTGGTGTTGTGTTTTGGATATAAGGTGACCCCCAAGAGCTCCTGTGTTAATACAGGAATGTTCAGATGTGAAATTATTAGATTTTGAGTGTTGTAACCTAATTAATCCATCCTAGTTTGAATGGATAACTTGGTGGTAACTGTAGGCAGGTGAGGCATGGCTGGGGGAGGTAGGTCACTAAGGACATGTCCTTGGGGATATCTTGTTCCCCTGGTTCCTACTTCACTCTTTCTGCCTCCTAGCCACCATGAGCTGAGTAGATTTCTTTTGCCAAACCCTTCTGCCATGCCCATCTACCATGATGTTCTGCCTTACTTCAGGCCCATAGCAATGGAATCAGCTGACTATGGACTGAACCTCTGATACCATGAGCCCAAAATAAACTTTTCCTCCTCTAAATGTTCTTGTCAGGTATTTTGGTCACAACAACAAAATCTGACTAATACACATGGAAAAACCCAATAGGAAATCATGTGAAGATCACTATGGTTCATGGGTAAGAACATGCTTTCTCCTCTGTTGATAACCTTTCCCCATCTGAGAAATGGCTACTGATTTACTACTTGGTCCTGATAGAGACTGAACACCTGATCATGGGGCACAAAGTAACTATACAGCACAAATTTGTTTTCATGAACTGAATGGTACTTGATCCAAGAAACCATAAAATTGCTCACACAAAGAAGTGTTTTATTAAAGATGAAAGTAGAGAAAGAACTGGTAAAGATCATTTTTAAATAATCATTTGAAGTCCCTGGAAATTTTCCTAAGGGCAAACAACAAATGCAGAAATATTTCTTCAAGAAAATCTATTAACACTCAGTAAGAACAAGAATCTATTGCAGGTCAGTCAAACCCATTTCCTCCTTCCCTATCTCCCAGAAGGGTTAGTTGAAGTTCCATTCCAGAAGAATGTGGTCAAGAAGGTCTTTCTCACTTCTAAACTCCAAATCAAATGTTACCATATTTCATTGGGAAATGCAGGTCACCAGGATTTTTCATCTTCTCTTTCTCCAAGTTGAAGAAACTAAATTTCTGATGAATACCACTGAGTGATTGAGGATCCTTTTTTTTTCACCTCACAGAAGCCTATGTCAGTGTGGCAGGCCTAGTGTATTGGAGCCCCAATTGTCCTTGCTGTAGGAGGCTACATGGCAGGAAAAGCAAGTTGATATGATCAGAAGCTACTGCATGCACCCAGCAAACAGAGAATGGCTCAGAGATTTTTACTAGGGGAAGAGAGGCAGCCTATATGAACAAAGAGCTCCAAACCTCTCCCCATAGGAACTGATGTTATTTGAAACAGCATGTGGGAAAGTTCAAGCCTAAGAGTACTCTCAGAAACAATAGTTATTTTGGCAATAAGCAGTTAAGCAGAAGTGTTAATTCCATGCAAACAACAAGATAAAGTGTAGACCAGCCAATTTACCAGCTTGAACCAAGGATAGACAAAGCTACAATTAGATATCCCAGGGATCAGAAAAAACTTCAAATATCAAATACTGTCCCTGAAAGAGGCTCAAATTAATTGGATTAGGTCATGAAGTAAATTACATAAACCAAAAATTAGAGCAGCCTAACAACTGGGTTTGATATCAACAGATGTATTGAGCTCACAAGATAGACCAGAGAGACTGGCATTTAAAGACAAACCTGCTGAAATCACTGTCTTTCCAGAGAGATGGTGGTGTACTCAAGACTACACCTTCTGATCAGCAACATCAAAGGTTTCATACTGCACAGAAAAACATTTCACTAAAATAGTCTAGCCAAGCTAATCAACAACTAAACAAGTAAGCAACAAAGAGAAGCCACAGATACAATGGGAAATGAGTATCCAGACTTAGTATAATGTATTACCTAAAATTGAAACAGCCTGAAGTTGGGGCCTCTTCTATAACTGAGAATAGATTCCTCATATTGAGAGAAAATGCTGGTGACTGTGCCCTCTGACCTTAGTGATACAAATAAAACAGAATGAAGCTGGGTGCAATGGCACACACCTATAATCCCAGCTACATGGAAGGATTTTTTTTAAGCAAAAAGTTTCTGCTACCTTCCTTCAAAGCTGGCTTTGAATAAAATATATTTTCCTACAAATTTTTAACATTTTTATTTATTCTTTTTAGTTATATATGACAGTAGAATTCATTTCCATATAATTGTACAAGCATGGGATATATCTTATTCTAGTTAGGACCCCATCCTTTTTTTTAACTTTATTTTATTTACTTATATGTGGTGCTAAGGATCCAACCCAGAGCCTCACACATATTAGGTGAGTGCTCTATCACTAAGCCACAACCCCAGCCCATGCACCCCATTCTTATGGATGTACATGATGGTAGGATTCACTATGATGTATTGATATAAGTGCATAGGAAATTATTTTGGATTCATTTCACTGTCCTTCCTTTTCCCATCCCTTCTGCCTTCCCTTCATTCCCCTTTGTCTAATCTACTGCATATCTATTCTTCCCCTCTCCTCTTTATTGTGGGTTAGCTTTCACATATCAGAGAAAACATTCAACCTTTGGTTTTGGGAGACTGGCTTATTTAACTTAGTATGATAATCTCTAGGTCCATCCATTTACTTGTAAGTGTCATAAAGTCATTCTTCTTTATGGCTGAATAATAATCCCTTGTATATATGTACCATAATTTCTTTATCCATTCATCTGTTGAAGGGAATCTAGGTTGATTCCATAGCTTGGCTATCATGTATTGAGCTTCTATAAACATGTGGCTGTGTCACTAAAGTTTACTCTTTTGGGTATAGACCAAGAAGTGGGATACTTGGGTCAAATAGTGGTTCCATTCCAGATTTTCTGAGGAATCCCCAAACTGCTTTCCAGAGTGGTTGCACCAATCTGCAGTCCCACCAGCAATTTATTAATGTACCTTCTTCCCCACATCCTCACCAACACTTATTGTTACTTGTATTCTTGATAATTGCCACTCTGACTAGAGTGACATGAAATATCAGTGTATTTTTGTTTTGTTTTTAAATATGGAATGCTTCGTGGGGCTAGGGTTATAGCTCAGCAGCAGAGCACTTGCCTCGCACATGTAAGGCACTGGGTTCGATCCTCAGCATCACATAAAAAAAATAAAGTAAAAAAAGAATACGGAATCCTTCATGAATGTGTATGTCATCCTTGCACAGTGACCATGCAAATATTCTCTGTATCATTCTGATTTTAGTATATGTGCTGTCAAAGTGAGAACTCAGTGTAGTTTTAATTTGCATTTCTTTAATTGCTAGAGATGTTGGACATTTTTCATATATTTATTGGCCATATTTCTTCTTCTGAGAAGTGCCCACTCAGTTCCTTTGCCCACTTATTGGTTGGATAATCTCATGATGTTTTTAATAGAAATAGAGAAAGCAATCATGAAATTTATCTGGAAAAATAAGAGGCCCAGAATTGCCAAGGCAATCCTTAACAAGAAAAATGAAGGAGGAGGCATCATAATACCAGACTAGTATAATTTAAGAATTATACTACAGAGCTATAGTAACAAAAACAACATGGTATTGGCACGAAAATAGGCAAGAAGACCAATGGAACAGAATAGAGACAAACCCCTAGACAAACCCACAAAAATATAGTTACCTTATACTTGATAAAGGCACCAAACACATGTATTGGAGAAAAGATAGCCTCTTCAACAAATGGTGCTAGGAAAACTGGAAATCCATATGTAGTAGAATGAACTTTAACTCCTATCTCTCACCTAGCACAAAACTTAACTCAAAGTAAATCAAAGACCTAGAAATTAGACCAGAAACCCTGCACATACTAGAAGAAAATGTAGGCCAAACATTCCAACGTTATCAACTCAGGAACCAAATTCCTCAACAAGACTCCTAAAACGTAAGAAGTAAAATCAAGAATCAATAAATGAGATGACACAAAACTAAAAATCTTCTTCACAGCAAAGGAAACAATAAAGAATATGAAGAGAGAGCATAGAGAATGGGAGAAAATTTTTGCCACCTACACCTCAGATAGGTCATTAATTTCTAGGATATATATAGAGAACTTGAAAAATTGAACACCAAAAGTAACCCAATCAATAAATGGGCAAGGAACTTAACAAACACTTCACAGAAGATATACAATCAATCAACAAACATATGAAAATAGTGTTCAACATCTCTAGCAATTAGAGAAATGAAAATCAAAACTACTCTAAGATTTCATCTCACTCCAGTCACAATGGCAATAATCAAGAATACAAGTAATAATAAGTGTTGACAAGGATGTGGGGGAAAAAGTACACTCATACATTGCTAGTGGGACTGTAAATTGATGCAACCACTCTGGAAAGCAGTACAGAGATTCGTCAGAAAACTTGGAATGGAATCACCATTTGACCAAGCTATCCCACTCCTTGATTTGTACCCAAAGGACTTAAAATCAGCCTACTACATTGATACAGCCACATCAATGTTTATAGCAGCTCAATTCACAATAGCTAAACTGTGGGACCAACCTAGATATCCTTCAACAAATGAAAGGATAAATAAAATGTGATATATATATATATATCTCCAATGGAATATTACTCAGCCTTAACGAAGAATGAAATTATGGCATTTGCAGGTTAATTGATGGAGCTGGAGAATATTGTGCTAAGCAAAATAAGCCAATCCCAGAAAACCAAAGGCCGAATGTTTTCTCTGTTAAGTGGATGCTGATCCATAATGGTGGGGGATAGGGAAGAATGTAGGAACATTGGATTGGTCAGAGGGGAGGGAGGGAAGATGTGAGGGTGGGAAGGATGGTGGAATAAGACAGACATTATTACCCCATATACATGTATGATAATATGACCAGTGTGAACTCTTTACATATGTATAGCCAGAGGAAGGAGAAGTTGTGCGCCATTTGTGTACAATGTGTCAAAACGCATTCTATTGTAATGTGAAATTAATTAGAACAATTTTTTAAAACAAACTTTGGGGGGAAAAGGGCAAATTTTCTTTCCCCTGTGCATGTAGGAATATGTGACAAATCTATTATGTATAATACACCAATAAAAAAATTAAAAATAAATTAAGGAAAAAAGAACAAAAAGAGAGAGCCTACAGAATGGGAGAAAATCTTTGCCATCTACGTCTCAGATAGAGCATTAGTTTTCAGGATATATAAAGAATTCACAAAACACCAAACAAATAACCCAATAAATAAATGGGCTAAGGAACTGAACAGATATGTCTTACAAATTTGACTCTTAATATTTGTGGAGCAGTAAGCAGTATAGCCTAGAGTCTTCCCTTGTGCCACCCAGTAACAAAATATCCAGTTTTCAATAAAAAAATCACGAGACATACAAAAAAAAACAAAGAAAAGTGACCCATATACAGGAAAAAAAGCAGGAAAGAAACTTCTTAGAAAGTGACCACATGTTGTATTTAACAGAATAAAACTTTGAAGTTAGGATTATGAATATGTTTAAAGAACAGAAAGGAATCATGCTTAAAGAAATGAGGTATGATGAAAACATGGCATCAAATAGAGAATCATAAAAAAGATTCAAGTAAAAATTCTAGAGTCAAATATACAATAGGCCCTGGGTCAAATCCCCAGCTCCACCAAAAAAAAAAAAAGTACAATAGCCTAAATAAATAGTTCACCAGAGGTGCTCAACAATAGTTTTATATGACAAAAAGAATCAGAAAACTTGAAGACAGATTGATCTTAGGGAATCTCCAAGTGAACTTTAAATGAAAATGCACTCAGAGCAAATTCCAAGTGAGTTTCAGTAAATTCCACATATGATAAGTTAAAAATCGCTCATATCAAGACACATCGTGGTAAAAACACTGAATGTGAAAAACAAAAGAAAATCTTGCAAGAAAAAACCAATTTAACAGACACATTGGAAACCAAAAGATTAACAGCTGACTTTTCATACAAAACAATGAAAGCCAAAAGTGTAAAAGATAACATGTTCAAAGTGCTGAATGAAAAATATCTGTCAACCAAGAATCATATCTTAGTACAATTATCCTTCAAATGAATAGGAAATACATTCCAAGATAAAGAAAACTGAGAATTCATTTCCAGCAAGCACATCTTATAAGAAATATTAAAGTAAGTACAGTAAGCTGAAAGCCAGTGACCCCAGATGCACCCAAAAAAAATTACTGATGAAGGCAACTATGCAATTATAAAAGATAATATAAATAATAATTTCTTCTCCTATCTTACCTATTAAAAAGCAACTATAGGGTGGGGGTTGTGGCTCTGTGGTAGAGGGCTTTCCTAGCATGCGTGAGGCACTGGGTTCGATCCCCAGCACCACATAAAAATTAAAAAAAAAAAACAAATAAAGGTATTGCGTCCATCAACAACTAAAAAAAAATTTTTTAAAAAAGCAACTATATAAAACAATTTGCATATAATTATATTGTTGATCTATTATGCACAGTAATGCAACATATATGATAACAGCCTAAGGAGGTGGGTAGGAGAGAAGCTGCTCTGGAGTAAGGAAATAACACTAGATTATAACTGAAATCCACAGGAACAAGTGAAGACAACCAGAAATCACAAATAAGAAGGTTAATATCACAAATTTTATAAATACATATTTATTCTTTCTTTTCTCAGCTTCTTTAATAAACACAAAACTATGTAAACTAATAAATATAACAATGTCCTCTTGGGTTTGTAACATGAATGTAATATAACAACAACAGCATAAAAAGGGAGAAAAGGAAACAGAGCTATATAGGAGCAATGTATCAATATCTCACTTGAACTAAATTAGTATAAATCTAAGTGGATTCTGATAGATTATTAAAGGAACTAAAATGTCACATTAGACATATTCACACAATGTGAAAGAAAGCAATAAAAAAGTAGTACAGTAACAAAAACACAAACTTGAAGAACACAAAATTTCAAATGGCAGATAAAATCCAAATATATCAATCATAAGAGTAAATATGGATAGAATAAACAATCTAATCAAAAGGCAGTATTGTCAAACTGGACAAAAATAGGTTCAACTACATGCTTTGTAGAGGGGACATTCTTTAGATTCAAAGATATATATAGCTTGAAAGTAAGTAATGGAAAAAGATGATATCATTCAAACAGCAACCTTGTGAAAGCTGGAGTAATGATACTAATACCAGAAAAAAGCAGACTTTAAACAAACAAAAACATCTCTAGGGGGAAAGAGGACCATTTTACAATAATCAAATGATCAATCCACCAGGAAAAGACAATAATTATAAACATATGTGGATGTAACTAAATTAGATAAAGCCAAATCTGATAGCAATGAAAGGATAAATGCACAATTAAATGATAAAGACTTCAATATCTCAGCACAAATAATGGAACTTAAACTAAAAATAGATGGATTATGGGCTGGGGATATAGCTCAGTTAGTACAGTGCTTGCCTCACATGCACAAGACCCAGGTTCAATCCACAGTATCATGCAAAAAAAGAAAAGATGAATTATAATTGTTGAACACTATAATATCCTACTTTCAAAAATGGGTAAAACTAGACAAAAGCTCAACAAGAAAACAGAACACTTGAACACTATAAACCACCTAGATCCAACAGATATCTATATAACACTGTATCCAACAACAGCAGAATACATATTCACCTCAAGTACACATAGAATATTCTCTAGGATAGACCATATTCTAGGCCATAAAACAACCCTCAGTGAATTTAAAGGAATTGAAATCTTAAAAATATATTCTTTAATTTTAAAAAAGAGTAACACAATAACAGAATAAATGTGTAAAATTATCAAATATGTGCAAATTAAACAATATAATCTTAATTATTGAAAGAAAGCATTATAAAGGAAATTAGAAAATGCTTTAAGATAAAAGAAATGAAAAGACACATTATGCCAAATTTATGGGATACAGCTAAAGTAGTTCATGGGGGAAAATTTATAGTGTAAATGTATCCACTAAAAAAAGAAAATCTCAAACCAGTATCATAATGCATCCATATTAAGACACTGGAAAAAGAAAGAATATTAAATATAAAGAAAATAGAAGAGACTAAATAAAGATTACGTGGAAATAAACGACATACAGAATAGAAAAACAATTAAAAATGAAGAAAAAGGTAATTTTTGGAAAGACTGATAAAATTGATAGATATTTAACTAAAGTGATCAAGACAAAAATTTAAGAGACTCAGATTTGTAAAACCAGGAACTACAGGTGTGCAATGG